TGCCCAGCATGCGCTTTTATCCGACGTAATTTGATATTTTGTTCCAAGTTATTTCTTAGAAGTCTTTGTGATTTTGCAATTACAAGTGATGTACAACACGGATTGCGTATTGCATGTAATGTTCAGGTTATCTGTAATTACAGTTACATTATTTTGGTTCTTTATTATATAGGTGATGGGTTGCTTTGGCTTTGGTTCTTCAAGTGGCTTTTCGAGTGATGAATTTTTTGTAGGGAGGTATGCTCCGTGGAAATCATTTTAAGGAAAACTGGATCCTATCCACGTTACACTTGGGGAGAAAACGCCCATGCAGCCAGCTCGTTCGCCATCACTCGAACCCCGAACCGAACTACCAGTGATCAGCGGCTTTTACTGCTCAGCCGCTGGTGGGCCCTAGTGTGATGGATTGTCTTCGATTTTTTCATGTGTACTAATGTACTTCCAAACCTAAATACGTTTCGGATCAGTCTGTATAAGTAACTATGTCTGGCTTCGTATTTTTATCCGTAAAATTTATAAAGATTTTTACATGTTTCTGTTTCTGGATGTATATGAGGTACAATATTTTTTTTGGTACTATTCCGTTTTGAGGGCCGTAAAAAATTGCAGCGAAAATATGCGCAAAAGAGCCAAATCTAGCATACGCGCAGATTTCAGATTGCGTAAGTTTATATAGTTCTATATTTCTTAAGACGCCATTTAAATGCTAGTTTAATTTTTAAATCTTTTTTATTTTAAATCATTTTTTTATATCCTATGGATTTAACAATTTGGGACTTGCCCATGACGAAAAGTCTGCGATAGAATTTTGGGTAAAGTGCAGAATCACCCACTGCATGACGCGTTTTTAAGAACTGCACATACTCTGTATCCATGTACACATCGACTTATTTTCACTTAAAAAAAAATCCCGGAATTGCACAAAAATCGCACTGCGCACACCCTTGACTTTATCTATGTAGACATCGACCTATTGTCACTTAAAAAGTAAAAGAAAATTGACAAAATTCCAATTGTTTTTACCCTTGTAAAAAGCGGCAAACAAATAAGTGGGCGATTCTGCACTTTACCAAGAATGTTTTCAAAGAAAAGGCATCATTCATTATAGAAAATTGTTTGAACAACCAACGAGATGACATTATGCTTGAGCGATAACTCGGTAGCGAAATAGCGATGCAGGCATCCATTCAGTTATGTTTAGCAATTTTTATATACTAAATTATAATAATGATCTGATTAGTTATTTACTCTTATGCTTCCATTCAGTCATGTTTAGCCTTTTATATGTAAATTATAATAATAAAAAAGTATTATATGAAATAAACCTTTCATCTAAATTAAAACATCAATCTTGGATAGTAATTTACTATTATACTTCCTTTCTTGCTTAAGGGTTGCCGCAATTATTTTTGGCAGCACTGGCATCAACAATAGTTTGGCGATTTTTACGGCCCTCAAACCCGAATAGTACCTCCCCCCCCCAAGTGTCTAGCTTTAAAATTGTAGACTTTTTAATTAATGTCCTGACTCTCAAGTGCTGTGCGTTGGAGATTATAGCTTCCTTTTCCTTCGTATTGTGAGCAGAATTATGTTTGCTAGATCATTTATAGCGTCCGTAGTTGTTGTACGGTGCACACTGGTGATAGTTAAGGCAAGTAGGTTTGTATAGTGAGCAGGTTCTTAGCTTTAATGCGGATGCCCAATCCAGCTTCAGAGAATAAATGAGCTTTAAATTTGCATATACATTATAAACTTGGAAGCAAGATTAAAAGAAATTAAGTGACATTAAACATTAACACTTTGACTGCAGCATCACCCGTGTTCATGCGCGCGGGAAAAATTCCCATCAGCCTGCGCTATCCATATTCGGGTTACAGGTCTTTGAATATTGACAAGGTAAAGCAGGCATTTGAAAGAGATTGTTGAAAGGAAGGAAGGAATAGGATTCTTGTCGATAGGTCCATTCCGTTCACTAAAGTGAATTGTACTTCCTTAGGGTATCAACTTTTAGTTTCTTTCTAAACAACCAGTTCTTGTAAAATATGATCAGTAGTATCTACACAACATTTATTATCACTGCTTATATCAATATTCGAATCAAAGTCTGAAGATATAGGTTTGTTTGTAATTATCTTTCCGAAAAATCTCGACTGTTTATCATCGCTACTATTCGTTTTTTTTTTTTTTTTTTTTTTGTTGTGTGTGTGTGTGTGTGTGTGTGTGTGTGAGGCTAGTTGCAGATTTATTCTTCACTGCTAAATGACTCGCTTAAAAATTCTTTAATATTCCTTTCAGACGCTGCAAAAAAATTAAAGCAGCATGTTTAGCCCAAGAAAATTTCAACCATTTTTCACTACATAAAAAATATTTGGAAAAAGAAGAAATAATTTTCGAATCTCGCACGCTTTCTTGCATACATAGTTCTTGAGGATAAATTTTAAACGGAATGCATGTTCCAAAATGTTTCGTTCTGAAAATCGGATCCACCAGCGGCCGAGCGGTAAAGTCGCTGAACAGTGGTACTTCGGTCCGAGGTTCGAATCCCTTGAACATGCTGGTTCCATGGGCGTTTTCGCGCGGGTGTGTGATTATGGCAAAGCCTCGAGAGCTATCTGCCTAAGGGGATAGGGATGCCTTCGTGGAGGTCTTTTTAAGGGAAACTGGCTCGTATACACGTTACACATGGGGAAAACCACGAAAACGCCCATGCAGCCAGCCCGTTCGCGGGATTCGAATTTCGGACCGAACTACCAGTTCCGCTGGTGGGCCCTGGGCGTTTTCGCAGTTTTCGTCATGTGTAATGTGTATACGAGCTAGTTTCCCTTAGAGAAAGTCCTCTACGAAAAAGTCCCTCCCTTTAGACAGATAACCCTCAAGGCTTTGCTGTAACTAAATAAACCAAACCTAACCAAACGTTCTAAACTCCTACAATTGGGAGCCCACGAGCGGTGAGGCCACTAAAGACTTAGTTCCGACCTGTGATCGATTCCAGGCGAACGGGCTGGCTGTGCGGGCGTTTCCATTGTTTTTCCTGTGTGTAATGTGCATACGAGTCACGAAAGCCTCCCTCTTCTTAGACACATAGCCCTCGCATAATTAAATAAACCAAACTCAACATAAAATCGGAAACAGTTGACGCTTGGTATATAACAGCGCTCGTGGCCTAAAGGAGAGTTCTACGAAATTTTACAAGAGGATAAGAAAATCAGACCGTTAGCTGCACATGTTTTGCATTATGATCTTCGTGACCAGGCCAACCAAGCAGAAAGCGGAACCTCATGAACAGACTTCCCTCAATCGTAGATTTCATTTTCTACTCATTCAGTACTTAAACACAGAGACAGTCAGGCATCTTCTCTAAAAGAAGCAAGGTGCTTCACACTCTTTGCTCCATCTTTTCTGCCTCTCCTGGAGAAAATGTCGCTGATGTTTTTCGCCTCCGCCAGACCCGTTTGAGACTCGTTAAGGAACTGGGAAGAGCAGAAAAGGAATCTTCTACTGTGGACCATATATTGCAAACCTACTCTTAACCATATGTTACAAAAGTATTAAAGAGAAATTCTTACAAACGCGCGTAGTAAGATAAGAGTTTTGGCTTCCCTGCTCCGAGAACTCAATCTCACTGCAGGTCCACTCCCCCTTTGGGCACATCGTGGAAGTTCAACTTCCACTATTACCCTCCAGGAGAGCAGCGCACCACCTGCATACGACACCAGGCAGCACCGGTCGTCTAATGCTCCTACCAATCACTTGGGCGAGCCCGTCGCAGCGGGACATTACCCAGCGACACCGGGGGAGACCCCCGGGTTACTAGAACCACGCCGCGCTAGGACTTGCCAGAATCCGAGGCCGGCCAATAAGTGACCTTTCCCAGAGCCTTCAGAACCACCAAGTTCATAAAATTTTATACCCCCGTGGCCGAGACTGCCTAGGTACAGATCCTAGCCAGTAAAACGCGCGTAGTAGGCAACCTTTTAAGCAAAGCTGTATCAATTATTTTACTGTTATGTTTTATAACGTAGCTCAAAGCTTGCCCAACAATGAGCAGTGGACTTAACAAAATGAACTCATGAAATTAATCAACTTCGCTGTACATAATGTTTAGGATAAAAAGCATTACTGAGGTAAATATGTTCACATCACATACATTATATCTTCGCCTTTTCCGTTAGAAGATCATTAAGCACTTTTATGAAATAGCTGTAGCCAATGAATTTGCACTAATTCATTAAATTCCTCATACATTTTTTCTTCATATACCTATCTTAAGCGGTTCTCCGCGTAAGAGGTTAGAATCTAAATGATTAAATCAATTTAATTTTGGCCTGTTCATTAACCCTCATTAGGCCCCACCAGAAGTTAAAGCTGGTTAAGTCGCTGAATACTGAACTCGACTCGGGTTCGAACTCAAGACAAACGGTAGCTGCATGGTTTCTTCCCCCCCCCAGTGTGTAATATGGATACAAGATAGTTTGTTCTAATAACTCCAACTACTAATGTTGTGCCCATCAGCGGCCGAGCGGTGAAAAGCCGCTGAACACTGGTAGTTCGGTCCGAGGTTCAAGTCCCGGCGAACGGGCTGACTGCATGGGCGTTTTCCTGGTTTTCCCCATGTGTAACGTGGATACGAGCCAGTTTCCCTTAAAAAGACCTCCAGGAGGCATCCGTCCCTTTCCGTGTAGTGCCCAAGGGCGGAGCACGTAATAAGCAAAAAAAAAACTACTAATGTATCCCTCCCCATAGGGTCGATAAGCCCTCGTGTGCCTGTCCAATTTCAAATAACCTAAGCCAACCTTTCCCAGGGTTGGCTTGGGTTATTTGAATTTGGACAGGCTCAAATAACCCAAGCCAAAGTTGGTTATTTAATTTTCAGACAGGCGTCACTGTTTTAATCTATTTTTAAGTTCATTAGCAAAGTATAAGTTGCCATATACTTTGTCCCATCACTGGTAATTATGATATTTGAAGCGTTTCTCATTTTTAATAAATATTTCTTTTAGCTCAGCATCTTCTAAGCAACTTGGAAATGGCGTTGTATATGTTGTGCGTGTTCTTCGCATTAATAGCCGCTTTTTTTGCCGATGAAAGCAAAGAAGTTTGTACTGCCGAAGATTTAGCAACTACGGAAGGTATAATTACTGAAGATACTACGGAAGCTGCAGTTACTACAGATGCTATAGTTTCTACAAATACCACCGGAGACACAGTCTCTAGAGAAGGTATATTTCAAGATACAGAAAAACTGGTTCTAGCACTTAACCATTTCGCTTTCGATGTGTTTAAGCAACTCGCCGGTAAAGAAGGTGAAAATGTTTTCCTTTCACCCTTGTCTCTCTCGAGCCTTTTCGGGATGCTTCACTACGGGTCTAGAGGGCAAACAGAACAGGTAAGACATTAAAATCTGTTACAATTATTTATGTTTGAGATTTAAATTTGAATGAAAGCTTAATAAAAAATCTGTTACCATTATTTGTTTGAGATTTAAATTTGAATGAAAGCTAAATCAAAAATCTAATACGATTATTTATGTTTGGGATTTAAATTTGAAAGCTAAATCAAAAATCTATTACGATTATTTATGTTTGGGATTTAAATTTGATTGAAAGCTAAATCAAAAATCTATTACGATTATTTATGTTTGAGATTTAAATTTGATTGAAAGCTGATTCAAAAATCTGTTGCGATTATTTATGCTTGATTTAAATTTGAATGAAAGCTAGATCAAAAATCTATTTCCATTATTTATGTTTGAGATTTAAATTTGAATGAAAGCTAGATCAAAAATCTATTTCCATTATTTATGTTTGAGATTTAAATTTGATTGAAAGCTAGATCAAAAATCTATTTCCATTATTTATGTTTGAGATTTAAATTTGAATGAAAGCTACATCAAAAATGTATTACCATTATTTATGTTTGAGATTTAAATTTGAATGAAAGCTAGATTAAAATTCTATTACCATTATGTTTGAGATTTAAATTTGAATGAAAGCTAGATTAAAATTCTATTACCATTATGTTTGAGATTTAAATTTGAATGAAAGCTAGATTAAAATTCTATCACCATTATTTATGTTTGAGATTTAAATTTGAATGAAAGCTAGATTAAAATTCTATCACCATTATTTATGTTTGAGATTTAAATTTGAATGAAAGCTAGATTAAAATTCTATCACCATTATTTATGTTTGAGATTTAAATTTGAATGAAAGCTAGATTAAAATTCTATCACCATTATTTATGTCTGAGATTTAAATTTGAATGAAAGCTAGATTAAAATTCTATCACCATTATTTATGTCTGAGATTTAAATTTGATTGAAAGCTAGATCAAAAATCTATTTCCATTATTTATGTCTGAGATTTAAATTTGATTGAAAGCTAGATCAAAAATCTATTTCCATTATTTATGTCTGAGATTTAATTTGAATGAAAGCTAAATCAAAAATCTATTACCATTATGTTTGAGATTTAAATTTGAATGAAAGCGAAATCAAAAATCTATTATTATTTATGTTTGAGATTTAAATTTGATTGAAAGCTAAATCAAAAACATATTACGATTATTTATGTTTGAGCGATTTGGGGACTCCTTTCTGTTGATAGAGCTCCAGTCGTAATTGTCTGCCAGAACGCCAAATAGTAGTTTCTTTGTATTACATAGTGAGTTACCGTGCAATGACGTAATAGTGAATAAGCGTCCGGTGGCTTTTTCTTTCCAGATTTCCTGTTACTTAGGCGGATTAATCCGCAGCTGCTGGATAAGAACATCTACACGTTCATCAAAAATAAAACATTATTGAACTATTACTGATCAAAAACAGGAAAATAAGCTACTTTCTCGAATTATATATTAAAGGAGAAATAAAACATCAATATCTAACTGAATTGATGGTTCAGAATCTTTGTATAGGAGAAAATTTGAAAACTGGCAGATTCTGATAACATACATGATCAGATTTCAATAGACAACCATACCAAACAATGAATGTTTGACTCGTCATAATTCAAATTTTGAGTTTCCCTTAGAAAGTCCTCCACGAAGGCAACCCTCCCTTTAGGCAGATAGCCCTCGTGTGCTTTGCCATAATTAAATAATCCAATTCAAATTTTGAGCAAATGAGAACACTTTAATTTAGTTAAAGCTTTCCAAATGTGTAATAATGTACTCTTCTGCATTAGGTGGCCTTTATGATAATAACCATTGGTGTCAGGCATATATTTCAAATTACAAAAATATTTCAAATTATGTAAATATTCATGTTTTGATACTTTTAAATTTAAAGAAACCAGTTTTTTAAAAATTGCAAAATGTAACTCCTTGCAACTTTTCTTCAGTCCTTATTGCTTACGAAAATGCTATGCTCATTGTAAAAAATAAAGCAGAAAAATTTCATTCCCATGAAACAAAAATTGGAAAAGAAATTAATTTCAAAATTTATAATTTTTTATGCCACTTCCAACTTGCTTTCATGGGTTAGTAATTTTTTTAAATCAAAATAATTACAGATTGTTACGCTGTGTACATAACTGCGAAATACACATCAGTTTGGCCACAGTTTGATTAACCAAAGCAAAATAAGCACGCGCCTAAGAGCACGCGCCTTAGAAAGCACGCGCCTGAGAGGTTAAGCACGCGCCTGAGAGGTACCAGAGCCCAGGCTCTGGTACCTCTCAGTTTTTGGGATAAATTCTAATTCTAGCCGGTATGCACTGAAGCACTAAATTAAGAAAGCTTTCTTTTATGTAACTGAACAATTATTTCAGTAGAAATTTGATCTCGAAAATTTTATTTTTAGCAATAAAATTGCTTATTAAATTTTATTTTATCTTACAATTTTATTAATTTTCAACTATTTTAATAACAATAAATCATGAATTAAATAATAATTACAATTAAATAATTAGCAAATCATTTAAATAATTAATTTGATGCTCATTAACTATTTCATTTTAAAATTATTAATGATTTTAAGTCATTTAATTTATTTATTATTTACTGTTTTTGTTCCGCTTTCCTGATGGTCTTCCACAGGGCTCTGGCGCTTCTACTTTCAGAAATCAAGCCCTGACGGAAACTACGATGCAACTAAACTAATACAGAGAAAGAATGGGGGAAAAGAGGCATAGACGTTTGTTGAGAAACTAAAATTTTAAGTGCTTATTGCCTTCAAAGGTCAAGGCAACCCGACCTTGTTGTCTTAATTTGATCACCAACATCCAGATTCCGACTTCATCGAATTTTTGCAGCACCGATTCGTAAGTCAGTTCGCAAATGATGAATCGTCGTAATTCAATTACGGTGAAGTTCGATTTACCCAACCATTGGCATCTATTCGCATCCCGAGCACTCTGAAAAAAAAAACAAAATAATACTTCAACGCCTGAATAACAATTATGGAAATTTCCGGTTATGTTTTTACCACCAATCCTCGAATTCCATATCACAGATTATGTTCTTACTGCATTAATATAAATATTAACAAGACATAGTGCACAATAAAAATTAAGCTTTATTTAGGAACTTCGCGCACACTGCCCGACAGCCTGCCTGTTTCGCTCTGCTCGCTACTCGTAAGAAATTTCTCCTCTAGGGTTGCCACACTTATCGGAGGGCGCAAGGCGCGCTCCTTATCGCCATCACCACAGAGTTTCCCCCCAGTTCCTTTAATGGCTATTCAAAGGAACGACATAGGTTATGAAATTATCTCAGAGTATCCGTACTGTCGGGTATTTTTTTTTACATGATTACAAAATTAGAATATAAAATTAGAAAAGATCAAAATGCAATTCAATATATAACAAGGTATTGACACATATAATAAACATGAAATAACAAGAAATATGTTAAGATATGAATTTTAAAAAAATGTTTTAAATTGTTATGTAAGAAGCAAGTTTCTTAGGGAAGTGAACATGTCTTCCCGATCTGGTGACAGTTTGTGTCTTAGAGAGTTCGTTTGCAGATTTATTCTGCTGAACTGTCTTTAAGTCTTTATTTGTTTTCAGTTCAGGCAAATTAGAGTCCGAAAGCAAATAGGCTGGTTTCACACGGTCTATAGACACAGTAGATTTCAGACCGTTAATATCAATTGTGAAAGTTTTGTCCGTTCTAGAAAGGACTTTATGCGGACCTGTATATGGTTGGCACAGAGGTGGCTTTACTCGATCGACACGTAAGTATACATGCGTACACGACTTTAAGGTAGCACTTACGTAACATTTTTCTTGGCAATGTGCAGATGTTGCTATTGGATTCAATTGTTGCATTCTATGCCTAAGATTCGTGATAAATTGTGTGTCATACGGAGATATCTTAGATGACGTTATCATATCACTAGGCAGCTTGAGAGTTGTGCCGTACACCAGTTCAGCACACAGAGATGACTGTAGATCTTCCTTTACGGCTGTCCGAATACCAAGCATAACAACTGGTAGTGTTTCAGTCCAGTTATTGGTCTCGTGAGCCTTGAGAGAAGATTTTAAATGTCGATGAAATCGTTCAACAATGCCGTTGGACATTGGATGATAGGCTGTTGTTGTGATTCTGTTCGTACCCAAAATGCGCGTGAATTCTGCAAAAAGTGCGGATCTCATTTGAGAACCTTGGTCTGTTGTTATGATCGATGGGCAGCCAAAACGAGATATCCAACAGTTGAAGATGGCTCTGCAAATGGTTTCCGTTTTCATATCCGGGATGGGAATGGCTTCAGGCCATCTGGAGAATCTATCTATTAGAGTCAAAAGGTACACGTTGCCTTCTGATGGAGGTAACGGTCCGACGATATCCATATGGATTTCTGAAAAACGTGCATCAGGAAGAGAGAATGTGCCCAGTGGTGCTTTAGTATGCCTAGTAATTTTCGATTTTTGGCAAGATTCACAGGATTTCACCCAATTTTTGATATGACGTTTCATATCGGGCCATACATAACGAGAACAAATAAGCTTCGTAGTAGCTGCAATTCCTGGATGTGACAGATTATGCAGATGATTAAAGATGAGTCTGCGAAAGGAATTCGGAACAAATGGACGAGGAATGTCTGTTGATATGTCACAAAGAATATTACCATCAGAATATTGGCACGGTTTAAATTCCAGTTTCAAAGATGATGTGTTGTTTTTGAGAAGGTCTTGTACCTCCGGATCATGCCGTTGAGCTTCCGAAAATTTTTTAAAATCCAAAAATGGAGATTTTGTTATGGAATCAATTTCGATTCTTGAAAGAGCGTCAGCAACGACGTTTTTTGAACCTTGCACATGCCTAATATCAGTAGAGTACTGAGAAATAAAATCTAAATGTGGCGCAATTGTCGAGGTGAACATTTATGAGGGTTCTGTTTAAAAGCGTATATTAACGGTTTTTGATCCGTATAAATTATAAAAT